CTCGAGGTACTCTGACTCGCATCTGGAGAGATTCGCCCGAAGATTTGTCGCTATCTTCGCGTATGAAGTTTCCCTTTTTGTTCTTCGCGTTGCACATACACACATACACGCATGTACATACAGTCAAGGTAAGAAAAGTTGCCGCGCTTTTGCCCCGATGAACTTCCCAGAACTTAGCCGGTATTCGACGGAAAAATCTATCTTCCCCGAAAATGACCGAAGGACGCACATTCCCCTATCGGATACGGAAGCTGCGCGAAGCTCATTGAAGAAAAAAAAAGAAAAAATTTCGCGACCTTCTTCCGCCGACTACACGTACTACGTTTCGTCCGAATACCGATAACTCGCGGCGGCGCGATCGGCAAACCGAGACGAGAGAAATAACCGCGCCTATAAATCACGATCGTCACGTGGAGCGTGAGAATTTATTCGTTCGTTTATATATTTTTTTTTGTTTTTATTCGCCGCTCGTCGCGCCGATAGGGTTCCGCGGAGAAAAGAACATCGCGGCGGCGAGAAAAATCGCTAATTGGTACACGGAAAATATCAACAAAACTGCCGTGCGAATGCCGATGATTTACTGCAAGGTTTGATTGAATTCATTCGACTCTGTTTACCCGCTTGCTGCTCGTACAACTCTCGCCCTTTGCGTGGAGGTCCTCTCCCTCTCGCGATATTTAGCCCTTTTTTCATTTATATCGTTGATTTTTTTTTTCCGCCCTCGCTCGCTCCCGTTCATCCGTTCCGACGTTGCAAAGTTGGCCGCTGTAAAACTGGGAACAGCGAACGATGCGAACGTTTCCTGCTACAAACCACCGTCTCTCTCTCTCTCTCTCTCTCTCGCTCTCTCTCTCTCTCCCTCGCCCCTGCTGCCGTCGCGTTGCAGCCGCCCCGACCCCGTCGCCTACTGCTTCGTTTTATTCCATTTGATCCAACGGAACGGAAAGGTATGCGAGCTCCGAAGGGTGGAGCGTAGGGTAGGCTAGGTATGATTTTGCAATCGAATCGCCTCTGTATATTTTTCCTCCGTGTCAATTCGTTAGCGGTGGACGAACTGCCCGGAAAAGCTCCGGACGGGCTGTTCTTTAAAAACGATTCGACCGAGAATCGTAATGACGTTGGCGCCGCGGAAATACAATCGTTCCCGCCAAGATTGTTCTTTCCTTTGAACAACGTTCAGCTCGCGATAATTCACACGGAGATAGTTGTTGTGTGAACTTACTATGCAAACTTGAGGAACAACTGTGTCAAATGTGTAAATTGAAGTGGAAAACGTCCGCGTGGCTCCGATTCGAGGCTGGAATATTTGGCTAAAAACAACTGGTCGCGAAGAAGCGCGCGAGTTTGTATCATCGAATGCCCGGGCGTGTGAGAAAGGTGTCTTGCAATTGAAACGTAAGGCACATATAACTCGACTCGATGCTCCGGCTCGGTGTAAAGTGTACGTACCGGGTGTCCCGAACGGCGATCCGGAATAGATTTTTCCCGTGGAGAGAGAGAGAGAGAGAGAGAGATAAAGAAAGAGAGAGACCGATGAGTGCATCGCGCCGCCTCCGTCGTCGTCGACGGAAGAGAAAAATCTAATAGACGATCGGAATCGAATTTGATCCCACCCCACCCCGTCCCTTCGTAAGAAACTAGCCCTTCTTGCACGCGTTCGCGTTACAACACCATCGATACTGCCGCCCCATCGAGCCCGAAATGAAATCCAGTTCGCATTTGAATCAGTCAGTAACGCAATCCATTAGCCTCTAACAGCCAATATTCCGAAGACGCGCGGAAGGATACCGACTTCGCTCGTTCGCGCGCGCGCGAGAAAAAGAAAGAGAAATAAAGTGGCGCGGCAGTGGGACGGCAGGGTGTCGTGAATGATTAGTGTTGCCTATGAACGAATCCCATAAAAAAAAAAGAAAAAGCGGAGATCCATAGCCATCCTTCCTTCGTCCGATTCCGGCGAGCCCTTCCTTCCTCCCGCCTCGCGTCCTCCTCCCTTCTCATAGAACTCTCCCGCGTAAGTAGGGTCATTTTGTTAGCGTCAAATTCTGAAAGCGGATCGTCTGATTTCTTCTCCGCTCCGCGGAGAGGACGGACGCGGAATCCCGGCAGGCCGGGATATTTCAAGTCCCGAACTCTTTCTACCGCGTACTCTTCTCTCTCTCTCTCACTCTCTCGCGCTTTCCATCTAATTTCCCTCTTTAATCTTCCGCCACGGTTTTTCACTTCTCCGCGTGTCTTCCGGACACGCGGATCACACGGCGTGTCTTCGCGTCTCCCTCTCTCTCTTTCTCACTGGTCTGCACTGGCGTGTGTCGCACACTGCGATAAATCTGCCGCCTCACTCTACGTTTTTTCTTCTTCTTGCGTACTCTTAGTATCAATGTAATGCTACTATCAATGTAAATGCTCAATCGTCAACTTATCCATCTCTGCTTTTTATGATTAAATGCCTGCTTTTTAATGTAATTATCGCCGTTAGCTCTCTCCCTCTTTCTATCTATCTATATCCATCTATTCATCTATCTATCTCGCGTAGGACGCTTGAAAATTTGCGCACATATTCAAACATACACTTGCGGGAGCGCGGCTTTTCTATCGCGACGGGTGTATCGGACGAGCGCGAAACGCGCGACGGAGATACGTGCGCTGGCGGCGCGTTTTATTAAATAACGGCGACGCACGATTTCAATATAGATACAAAGTAAAACGATTCGCGATCCAAGAGGGCGGTCGCCGGTTACTCCGTTGTCGTCGGCGTCGTTAAAGGGGCGGCTTCTCGTACCGTTCTCGCAATAGCGTGTAGGTGCGAGTACACGGGTCGATGGTATTCCTATCTGGCGTCGTCGTCGTCGTCGTCGTCGTCGGGCGACGCCTCGGGCGCAACGAAGACATCGTGTTTAGAGCAAGATCCACGGTGGCGATAAGCCGCCGGTACAATGCTTTGAATACCCATCCAGCATCGCGATAGCATCTTAACGTTCTCTAAGAGTAAACGAAATTAAATTCGCACGACGCTACGGACGAGCGTCGCAGCGACGGCAGTCGACGACGCGCGATATTAGCCCGACACGCGAGAGGTCTCTCGCGCAAATTCCTCAGGTACGTTGGATCGTCTATGTAGCGCGTCGTAGACGCGAGAAACGCAACGCGAGAGATCGATACGTTTCTTTCCCTTTCTCTTTCCGTTTCTCGCCGAATTCCCATCCCCCGTCCCACCCCCGCCTTCCCTCCGCCCGACCCGGCGTACCCTTTCGCGGCGGATGCGTTTCGTTTTTACCTTTCACTTTTGAGCTTTATGGATTCCCCGGCAAGCGGGTTAGAGACTTTCGACGATCGTTGCGCGCAGAAATATATCGTCCGGCCTCCACATTCTTGAAAAATGTGCGCTACGTATCTTTCTCTCTCTCTCTCTCTCTCTCTCTCTCTCTCTATTTAATGAACGATTTAAGAAGATTGTAAAGGTTGAAATGAGTTTGAGAAGAATTTGATGAAAAATTTGTACTACGTATAGAAGGAAATGTTATCTAACTGCTTGTGCAAACTTCGATATTTCACTTACGAACAGGATGAAGAAATGGATTAGACGTTTTGTAATTGTAGGATTGAAGAGGGTCTGAAGAAGGCCGAGACATTTGTACCTTCTTAATTCAGAATGTGTATCTTAACGTTACTAAATTGAATTACATCAACTGTATATTAACGCACCTCCAGCTCGCGTCTGGCTCTTATAGGCCTCATTTATAATTGCGATTGTCTCTCTTTTTTTCCGAAAAAACGTCCATCTCATTTTCTTCCTTATATTGTAGCTAGCCGGCCTGAAACGCGCGTGACGCGAAAGTTAAATTGCAGGATGCTTAATTAAAATGCCCGGCCGATCGAGAGAAGTGCGTCGGTCCTTCCTTCTGCAATTTCGGCAATTTATGCGCGCGCGAAAAGGAGAGACGTAGAGATGCGGACAAAACGGCGCTGCGCCGCCGCTGCGAGGTATGCGTTTGATTTTTCCATGGAGTCTCCCGGTTCCCATAGACGCGCTCTTCAGGGGGAATGACAATGGCGTCCCATGGGAGGAAAAGCCTACCAGCAGCCACGCAGAAAACTACCCCTCCTTCTTGCCGACGTCGTCTCGGCCCTTCTGATTGTTTCCTACGCGTTTCCTTCGCTTTTTCGATCCTTTTCGGTCTGGCGTAAAGCTACCTGATCTTCAAGCTCTCTCCTCCTCGTCTCTCTCAGTCGGCTCCTTCCTCCCATCTCTCTGCAGGCAACACCGACAGAGGGGATATCCTGCGTTTCAAAAAAATTTCCTGAAATTCAATACCCCCGACATTTTACATAATTCATGAAAATTGAGCTCCCGGCTTTTTGGCAGGACCCCGCACGAGCGCGCACGTGTCCTTGAATCGCGAAATTCTATCTCATACGATTCCGCGCAGCAGTAGTACGATCAACCGACGTGTCGTAACTTTCAAGGTATGCTCATCACCTTTTAATGCGTGTCAGTTTCTTCTAACAATTAACAGCGTGACAAGAGTATACAAAAATAAAAAATTACCGGTTTATATATTTCAATATGACAAAATATCGAGACAATAATAATTGCGGTAATAATCTTTCCGATGTAAATAATAAGTCTTCGCTTTACTCTATATTTACTTGTTCGGAAAATACAAGGAAGATACGAGCGATATATCCTTTTTAGCATCTCACAATTAGCGTAATTAGCGAAATCTTTTCTGACATTTCCGCAGGACGACGAAATAACCGCGTATTTCCCGCGGCACACAATGCCGCGCATTCGGGCCTAAAGGTCAAAGAACACGTGGTCGGAGGTTTAATCTAGAGAAATGCTGAATAATATAGAGGCAAGTGAAGCGAGGCTCGCGATTGGCTTATACAATATTCAGCCTTGCTTTCCGACCAAGTTCGCGTTCTAATTAAGTTCCCGGCGTTGAAGAGCGTTAAGCACCTTGTCAACCGTTTAACTCTGGCCCCCTTTCTGCTTTCAGATTCTTCCTCAAGTTCTTTCTCAAGTGCAACCAGAACTGCCTCAAAAACGCGGGCAATCCACGCGACATGAGACGCTTTCAGGTAAGTTGCTCGCGCAGATATGAATTTGCAAGAGTAATATTTAAAAAAATCCCACCCAGCACCCAGCGACGGCTCTTACTAGCCCTTTTTAGCCCTCTCCTTGGCTACCTACCGAATCGATGTGAATATTTAATATTATTTTATTTTATCAAGAGAGAATCCGAAGTTCTTAATTATCATTGAAGAAAATGAAGTCGCTCCGTCGCTAACGGGTGCGTCGATTATCCGATTCGCGCGGCGCGTGATTGCGCGGCTTCGCCCGCAGTTAACCGCTCCCGCTTGCTTTCCGCCCGCTTGATCCCAGAGACATTTTCAGGTGGTGCCGCGAGACGCGCACTCCGCGAGAGACAAGCATCAGTCATTCAAGTCACGATCCGCGAAATTATAGAGGCGGACAGACGGAGACGAGAGCGCCGAAACTCCGCCGCAACGTCGCGTGACGCGTATCATCGTGCCGAGCGTCCTTCTTCGCCGCGTGTAACGCGCGCGACTCCGACGACTTTCGCCTCGTTCCCGATCGCTCTCCATCGAAATGGATAAATCCGTCCCTCTCTCTCTCTCTCTCTGTGCGTGAAAATAAACTCCTACGCGTACGATCTCGGCGGAAGTCGAGAACGCCGATGCGGGAGACGCGAAGCGAGGGATCGGCAATTAGCTCTGGGCGCAGCATTTATTATTCGACCAACCCCCCCTCCTCCCCCCGCATTTTTGTTCGTCTCTTATCCCCCCTGCAACGACCGCTCCTCCACTCACCGAGAGCCGTATCTCTCTCGTCCCCCCCCCCCCCCCCCCCCCCC